TATCCCCAGGCGTGGAGGCACACGCCTGTAATCCCAGCACTCGGGAGGCTGAGGCAGGAGGATCACTGTGAGTTCAAGACCAGCCTGGGCTACATAGTGAGTTAAAGGTCAGTCTCAATTATATAGTGAGACCCTGTCTCAAAAAAAAAAAAAAGTTGAAAGTTTAATGGTTGGCCTTGTAGACCACATGCACATTGCCAGGCACCAGACAGACTGGCTCCAAATACCACAGCACACCATCTCACGTGGCCTAGCACTGAGTTACACACTTTCCCTATGACACTTCAATTATGCCTACGGGGTCAGATAGGCATTACCTCCCTCACATGCTGGAGGAAGATATAAGCATGCGCTCGGAACGGTTATGATCTTGTCCAAGTTCACACAGCTGGGGACGCAAGGCCAGGACCTGCCCCGTGCCTATCCAGCTGCCATCCCGCACTGCCTCTGAGTGATTGCAAAGATGACCTTTGCTTTCATAATCCTCAGGCTACCCATTTTCCATGTCTCTGTAGTATGATTAAACTTTGATTAAATTGTCCATTTAGAAAGAGCATTTTCCAGAAAAAGCAAAGGGCTGAGAGCCAGGAAGGCTGAGCTTATAGCCTGTCTTTAACTTCCCTGAGCTCTGGTAAATGGAGTAAGCTACTTTCTTGTCACCAAATACAAGTCTTGGGACCCTGAATCTCTCGCGAAGCTGACCACCACTCTGCAGCAGCCTCACCCCCACTCCCAGTAAGTGAGGTTATTATTGCTGTTAGCTATTTCGATCACTTTTAGAGGACAGTTCTGACCTCAGCCCTTTGCCTGTGTTAGTTATTTGCATTCTCACACCAGTCCCGAGGAGTAGGTCTTGACATTCTCTCGCTGCTTCAGATGAACCTTGGGGGCACAGTGAGGCTCAGCAACTGTCCAAGATCACACACCCAGACATGGGATTCAAACCCACATAGACCGTGTCTAGAGCGGAGTGCTCAACCAGGAGCACACATCTGCCCACAAACCTAAAAGGATACATCCAGGAGAGCCAGGATCCTCTGACAGGAATCCAGGCTGAAGATGGGCCATGCGTTTGCCAGTCCTGTAAGGGACAAGAATCAGCATGGAGGGCTGGCCCAGAGCTTCAGCCCCCGTTCTGAACAGAAAGAGGCTATGCTGCCCATGTAAGCTGGAGTGACAGCACGAGGAGAGGCTGGGGCCTGGTGGTGACTCCTAGCTCTGGGTGGCTTTGCTTACCCACTGGGCCAGATGCACATACCCTCTGCACCTATGGAGGGCTGGGGTCATAGGCACAGGCTCCCAAATCTGAAAGACAGCTCCACTCATGAGAAACTTACGTTAAACCCAAAGGACCCTCGCCCACTGGTCCTAGTTATACCTCAGGAAATGGCATCTCTCTCCCCTTTGACTTTTCCCCTCTCTTCTAAATATCTAAACATCTTGAACTACTCCTCAGATGATAGGATTTTTAAACCCTTGTTGGCCTTTTCTGGACAAGGTGTGTTGCCAGTATCTGTCTAAAACATGGTACGAAAACTTGGAAGACAACCCCTGAGATGCAATTTTATCAGAATATAATAGGCCTGTGGCTGTCAAAGTTTTTAGTCCACATTTCCAAAATTATGTTCCAAGGGAGATGCTCTGCAGAGAAAGCATTTTGTGATCAAAGAATGCTTTGTATCCGTAGCCCAACATTTTCCTTCACCAAGATCCTTAGCCAATGATGAAATTCTGTGTGATAAAGTATTTTCCAAATGTCATTAATCATAAAACCTAACTCCTTTTTTTTCATGGAATACTTACCAACCCTGCTTTATAAAACTGATTTGCATACTTGTGATCAAGACATTTAAAGAATTTTAAGGCATCACCTCTAGATGATTTCCTTAGAATTAATCTAGAATTTTGCCTAATTTCTTAAGTCTTCCCTTCTGGTTCTTTTACCGATAACCAAATCTGGATTTGAGAAACCATCTGGAAGTGATTTCGAAGCTCGACCCATACAATAGGTTAGACTGTAATTTGTCTGCGTTTGAAATCTTGGCTTCACATAAAGGAGAAGCAATCATGTAAATTAGGTAGCAAATACCCTTGAATTATTTGTTGTAATTTTGTCACTTTGAAGCTCACTCACTTTTGTGGGGAAATCAGCCTGTTTTCTTCATGTTTTTCTCACTTCAAAGAGGTGTGTGAAATATTTCTAGATGGACATGAAGCTTTCTGTGTAACTCACTCCAGGCTCTGTGGGAAAGCATCAGTGCTACTCTCTGGCAGTCTCCCTAGGTGATGTGCTTATCCTCCCCTTCCACGTTTATGGAGCTTGGTAGACTTAAGTGTGAGTTCATCAGAGAGCCCCCTAGGTAGCTCATTAATGCTCTCATCTCACAGGCTGCAGAAACGAGTGCAACCCTTGCATGTGGCACTGAAACACTAAGAAAGGACTCAGCTTATCCCTCTGAAGCTAACAAGTGGCACAGATCTGTTTGTCACTGTCACACGTCTCTCACACCCAAGCTAAACAAGTTAATAACCATTTAAAAGCCAAACAAAGTACTCTTCTGCTTTGTCAAACCATGTAACCCGCCCAGGTGTCTTAACACAGCTGCTAGATGGAGCTGGTGCCTGGTGACCGATAAGTCCCCCCAGGAGGAGGAGAAGCAGAGCCAGCGTTTGCAAGTGTGTCCCCTCGGGTGACTCTTGAATAGTTACCTGGCCAGGTCATGTGGTTCAGGATCTTCCACAGCTCAACTGCATTTATTTCTGGATACTGAAGGGAAAGCAGACTGGTAAGAGAAAACCATGGCTACTGAGAGCTCATTAGACAACGGGGAGGCCACAAGTAGGCAGCTGAGGGCATCGTATCTAGGAGGATTATGTGCCATTTCTGAGCGGAAAGACTTAGCGCCATTATATTGCTTATAAGGAATGTAATTGAATCTGGGATTTCATGAGACCTATGATGCTTTTGTAACTGGGTGCCAAGTCCAGAGCACCCCAATTTGGCAGGATTTAATAGGGAGCAGCCACTCTTAATAGAGGTGCTTTAGAAGTTCAGCAATTTGCTTTGAGTTTTCTTCTTTATAAAATGTCATCAGACAAAATTCTAGATTTCAATTTTAGAGTTTATTAGAAGCAACTCTTTATATTAACATTTGACTTTAAAATATACTAGTGACAGGATCCCAGTAATGAATGTAACTGTATTGTAGACGACCTAGATTGTACCAATAAACTCAATAAGAAAAAAATATATATATACTAGTGGAATATAAGTACCATACACTTGAACTTCTAAAACTGGTAATCTTCATAAACGTACAATTTTAACCTGAGTTTTATACATAGAGCAGTACCTCGACTATGGAACTCAACTCATTCCAAATTCATGTTTGAACACTGAAAAGTTCGAGAACTGAACTATTTTTCCCATAAGAAATAATGGAAAACCAAATAATTGGTGTTGAGGCCCAAAATTACACATACATTTATTTTTCCAGGACTTTAACAAATTTCACAATGATTTCTTTTCTTAACTCTATTGTGGTTCTTAGTTTGCCTCTTAGCTTTACCGCTGGTATCACTTTTTTTGGAGCCATGGTGATGATATTTTACACAAAGAAAGCACAAAAAAGGGCAGCATTGTAACACACTAAAACCAGCACTGTAGGTTGTCTGGGTGAGGGCTGCTCTTAGACTGAAGCTTCTCCCTTTGTGTTCTTGGTGAGAGGTGACACGCGACTCACTCTTGGCCCGGACAGGGTTTTCAAGTCAGATTTTTGGACTGACTACTTGACGACTCTATGAACACCGAGTTTATGAACAGTCTGAACTTGGAGCCATTTGACAATGGAGGTATCACTGTATTGGGATTCTCACTGAGATTTCATTTGATCAAAGGACTGCCGTATAAAATGTTCGGAAAGTCCTGATAGGGAGGAAAACAACACATGTGAGATTCTGATTTGCTTTCTCTGGCTACACTAAGTGAAATGCTAGATCGGGGAGGCAGCGAGCCATGAATTTAAATTAGGAGCCTCAGTAACACAGAGTTCATGTTCTTCCAATTTTAGTGACAAATGTCAGGCTGTAGATTTCTACTCTGTCCCTTTCCAGATTCCTAAGTGTCAGGCAGCTTAGGAAAATAGGGTCCTAGGACCTTGTACTTACCTACAAGGCCTTCTGCTAGTCTCCATCTGGATCAGCCCAGGAAAGAACTTGAGGGGTCCAGAGCTGCAGCTGCAGGGCCCCCTCCACCCTTGTACCCTCTTACCCTACATCCTCTCTGGGCCACCACCCAAGGGAACTGTCTTCAGATGTGCACCCGCAGACCCCCAGGACTGTCACTGTCACACACCCCCAACTCCACCTTGTTCTCAAATGCTGACTCTCAGCTCTGCAATACTCCACATTCTCAAAGAGTAAAGACTAAAGTGGTTTCTCTGACAAGTAATCAGTGCAGCTTCTGAGAACAGACCATCATTTACATGAGCCTTCTGGAGATAACTCCAGTTACCTGTCTAAAAATGTTAGGACTTTAATAGAAAGTGGTGATTTGGGGTAGGTGACCTTAAATCGCTGTCTATACACAGCATCATGCAGATATAAACACACACTGCAATAAAATCACACCCTCCACTTTGTCCCCATATCCAGTCCACTAACCATTTCAAAGACTTTGGTGAAGAATACATCCTGCCCGTCACTGTGGTCTACTATCTCCCGTAGGAACCTATGCAGAGAGGGAATTCTGCACCTGTATAAAGGACTCGTGTGCACATGCTAATGCCTTGTGGCCTCTGAAATGGATCTACTTTGCCCTCAACTTCCCACCATGGCATTCACAAACATCTTTCTTGCTCTGATTCTTGCTGACATTGGGGGAAAAACAAGCAGTCAAATGAGCACAAGAAATTCCTGGTAGAGAGAAGGAGGAAGTGTATGTGCTACTCATGAACCTGGGGGTCTGGGTCCTCAGGGATAAGGACTGAGGAGTGTGTAGTTCTCTGCTCTTTCTCGGTGCAGACACAGCACAACCCGGGAGCTCCCAGAGTAAAGTGGGCCACATGGTACGTTTGCTGCACAGCGGCCCTGCCCGGATATGCATAATCTTTCTTCCTTCCCCTCACTAATGAGGCAGGAGATACCATTCTAGCTTTGAAAACAGGCCCAGCACGTGGCCTTCCCCCTGATCACTCACCTTAGAAAAGACCACACTGGAACTGCTGCCCAGTTCACTGAGGAAAGAGAAGGGCAGAGATTTTTGTTCTGGGACCATTTGGGAATCTCTGGACCACCGCTGCCCCTCCCCTGGGAGCTCATCTTCAAAGTTCCAAAGCTGAGGCACCTGTGGGCTCGTCCTGAGCACAGCCCTCACCTTCAACTGTTCCTTGAAGTGTCCTGGCCAGCCACAGCCACACGACACACGACACGACTCCCTGCTCCTAACTCCCCATGCTCTCCTCTCCCTCCCCTACTAGTTTAAGACCCAGTGTGTGCACACTGATTCAGAGCCTGCTAGTGAACGGCAGCCTCCCCTCATCCGACAAGCCCTGTGTGCTTCTCCCGAGTCACCACCAGCCTGACCAGGCTCCCCTGGGATCACAGAGAGCAGCTCACATGCCTGTCGGCATGAACACTGGGAATTACTGTCACACCACCGACCGCTCGTTTGCCTGTGTCCTTCCCAGACCTTCAGCTGCAGGAGGACAGGGCCCACAGCTGCTCTCTGTTTTTATCTGGCACCGAAGCGTGGTTAGGTGGTCAGCAGAAGGAGAGGGAAAAGGATGGGCTCCAAAGTTACTCTGGTGCCCTGCTCTGTCTTCTGTCCTGCCCAGCCTGTGTTCTTACCGTAAGGTGTGCTTCCTGGAGAAGAGCCTGAGGAGGAACTCTGCCTCCTTGTGGGCTTCGGATGTGCAGGGCACGAGGAGGTACGTGCCGGGCTCCAGCCATAGCTCCCGAGTCACTTCCCTCTCCGTGAGGAACACCTCGGGCCCACTCAGGGGAGCATTTCTCCAGAAGAACTCGGGGGGCAGTTTCCTCTGGTCCTCATAGAACTACGGGTGGGGGACGGAAGGACACCAGTGGAGGTGGTCAGCCAGGGCCTGGGCCTGAGCCATCTGCCAGGAACCGGGGCTGAGGTGGCCTCAGGTGATTCAAATCCAATGTTTCTGGTGGAAGACGAGGCTGAGGGGCGAGGAGCAGCAAAACAGCCAGAATATGCGTGTGTTGGGATCAGCCTCACTGGAGCCCTGTCAGGGGCTGCTGTAAACGGATTTGATGTCACACTTAAAACAATGTGGACATCAAATGATGTAAGGAAAGTCCCTGTGCCTTCAAGATCCATTTCACAGTTGAAGGCTTACAGAAGGTGAGTCACCTGTCCTGGGAAGAGTTCTGCTTGGGCCTGGAATTCGGGACAGCTGAGCTCTAACTCCCTGTACTTTCTGATGCTGCCTTCATATATGGTGCAGCATAGGTTGACTGTGACACCACTGGTTGTCACAGATACCGACGGACCACCGCCATCCCCTGCCTGCATTGTAGCAGCTACCCACGGACGCACTGGACACTGCAGGCCACTCAGTGAAACTGGTGAGAGCGCAGACAACCCGAGATCGGGCTCTGGATCTGCACATGCGTCCTGCCTTCCTCCCTTCTTTCCTTCCTTCGTTCTTCCTCCCCATCTCTCCTCTTGTTTCCTCTTCTCTCTCTTCTCGCTCAAGACTAAGCAGGAAGAAACAGTCCACACCAGGCTCCTTTCTCCGGTTTATACACAAAAGACACTGCTCATCCACCCCAAAACATTAGCAGATTCCACTCAGGGCTGATGACGCAAAACAGAATCACCTGATGACACATTTCTCCGATCAGAACATGAGATGTCTTCTTTGCCTATCTGCTACAAATCTCAAAGCTAAATATTACAACCAGCATAGTAGTTATCCTGGGTTTTTCTTGTAGAATCAACTGCCTGCCCTCACCCAATTATGACTTTTATTTACCCTTTTTGGTTTCATAACTGATTTGCAGTTTTCCTTTGTTTACCTTTTTATTGCAGATTGACCCAAATTCTATTTAGATGGTGGCATGACATAAATTTTTGTTTTTAAAGTAAAAGGCAACTTTGGGAGCACTCAGAATTCCCACAAGAGGGAAAAAAAAAACAAACACAAAACCCAAATCATGACCCAGTGCAAAATGTTTCATTTATAAAAAGCCCTTTCACTTGACTCAATCCGACCTGAGAAAATTAGAGTTTTCATTAGGGAACAAAAATCATAGCTGCCCCTCTCCATTTCTGCGACACCTCAGGCTTTCTTCCCAACACCGAGAGGCTACAACGGCACACAAAACGGAGCTCCTCTGTCCCTCTGCCTGGGTCCCCCAAACCTTGGTTCCCTGTCCCTGAGGAGGTGGGCTGTGAAGTATCTTGAATGTCCTTGTATGTTTCAGGTCTATTATGGGCTTCATCACTCAGGAAGACTGTGATTTGTCATCCTTTCTGTGCTGTGACAGCCTTCCATATTAGCCCGAGGTATTTATGTAGAGATTTAATGACTTCTAAAATTTATTAGTTCTATGCTAGGTTGAGCCTCCTTAGAGAAGAACAAGGGTTTATTGGGGTCTTTGGGTTAAAAAGAGCAGCTACTCTTTACTTACACACACACACAGTTGGCACTAACATTGGACATTCTCATAGCTGCCTCAGTGAAAACCAATCACACAGTAACCTGGCCACATTCATACCACTCCAAACTTGGGCTTCTGGTCCAGTGTGGCCCTCACCTTGCTCATCTGAAAAACAACAGAAAGAGAAATCTGATTAGTCATGGGCCCCCTGACTGTTGACAAGCACACGCTTCCTGGTGGGAGCTGACAGAGACGATTCTACCCTGAACCACCCCCTCCAAGCACTTTAATCCATCATCAGGGATAGGAGGAAAGTGTGAGGAAAGGAAGCCTTGGCTTCTTGGGAGAAAAAAAGGAAAGCAATACTGATCGTATCAACTATGAGCAGGGCACAGGGCACAGACTTTCACCTGGCCTCCTCTCATGCCATGCTCTGCATTAATATCACAGACCCCGCTTTACAGGTGGAGAAACTGACGTTCAAATGAAAGGAGCAATGACTCACTCTCCTAAGAACAGAGCCAGCCTTTGGACCCAGGTCTAAGGACAGAGACCGATGATGATAAGGAGGACAGGGACCAAGAAGGAATGAATGGCAGCTGCTGGGCCTCAAACCCCCAGCCCCAGCAACACCTACTCTGAAGAGGAAGAAGCCGATGGCCAGGCGAGGCTTCTGGTTGCGGCGCCTGTGTCTGGGCTTCTGGAGCAGAGACACCAGCACTTTGCAGGGACTCCGGGACCTCCTGCCCTCCTCAGGCCTCCAGATGGACAGCAGGAACTGCGGGTTCTTCCAAAATGTGTCTGGGCAGAGCACAGCAAGGTGTAACGGCCCCCAGCATCCTGCTCCCCATGCCACCGAGGCAGGGTTGGGCCCTGTGACCTCCGCTCCATGCCCCCTCCGTGCCCCGCTCTTCTGCACACCATGCCTGGAGCTGCCCCACCATAGCCCCTGTGCCCACAGAGCTTGGCCTGGATGTGGTGCCCTACAAACAGCTGCTTCCTGACTGAGTGGGGGAATATGCCCAGGATCCTGGGGCCTTCACAGAGGTGGGCAGCTCCAGCCTTTGGAGAAATAAGGAAGTAGGAGGGAACAGTGACCAGAGCTGAGGCCACGCTGGCCCCCTGAGATCATACCCAGAGACCTTTCCTAGCAAAGGGAGGCTCGCCACCTCCACCAGAGGAGGGGACACAGCCACCAACTCTCCTCCTCGAGAACTCAGACATGTTTGTTTCCTCCAAGAATCAAGAGTCCTGCTTTTAGGTCCCTACCAGGGTCCAGTGGGTAAGACCTAATTACCATACTATGATTACTATTTCAATTCTGTCTTTTAGAAAGTAACGACTTCAGCGCATCAATGGCCTTGTCCTAAAACCAAAGACTTCACCCAGCATCCACCGTGCCGGCTGCCCATGGCCGCCTGCTGTGATTTGGAAAAGGCACCCTCTGGGAAGCAGCGGAGAGGACTCTTCTTCTGTGCAAAGAGGACCAGAGATGCTCTCTTCCCTATGGCAAGCAGAGCCCCCTCCTCCACCACCTGTGGGGGCTGCAGATCACACAGCCAACCGCTGTGGCTCCTCCCACCCCACCCCACCCCCTGAGCCCTGTGCCCACCTCGAGGGGACTCCATCCGGCCACCAGCTGTACTTCCTTTCTGCCATCGGCCCTCCCACGTGGTGTACATCCATTTCTGGCCCATGTCTGCGCTCAACAGGCCTGGAGTTAGTTTACAGATGACCAGGAGTGCAAAATGGGCTTTAAAGTCCCGCAGTGTCATCCTGGAAAGGAGGAGGGAACAGCACAGAGAGGCAAGTGAGATGACTCCCAGTCCTGAGAACCAAGGACATGCACTCCTTCCCAGACCACCCACACCCCCAGCTCCTGTGCAGAGCCATGCTGGCCTTGCAGCCTGAGAAAGGGGCCTGCAGGATCAGTGTGAGGCTCCTGGGCCGGAGGTGAAGCTCTGTGACCCTTTGGTGCAAGCACTCAGCACCATTACCAACAGAGGAAAATGGCACTGTTTCTTGGATGGCAGGGACGAGAGCTGGATTGGGGCATCCACAACCAGTCCATTATATCTAAATGTTCAGTGGGAATTGCACAAATCAGTCCTCGATCATTAATTGCCACACACTAACACTGTGAGCTGAGGCTGCTACAGCAGAAACTGTCAGGGGCTCAGATTCCTTGTCCAGGAAGTGGAGAAAACAGGACTTGCAGGGCTCTTGATCTCAATGGAAGACCTTCAAAAGAGAGAGGGTCACAGAGGTGTGGGTAGGAACAGGGGGCAGAAAGCCAGGAACAAGGGCTGAGTGATTAGGAAAGGAGAGAAGCAAGAGTAGAGGGGACAGAGGGGTTCTGTGAGACTCCGGGAGCAGCACCCCTCGGGCAGTCTTGGTGGCCTTTCCTAAAACGAGGTCAGCAGCTTGAGGTGGCAGGGAGTAGTGCTGCTCTCTTCTGTAGGACCTAGATCTCTGTAGAGGGTTCTTTCCTTATCACTTTCTCTTTTTTCATTTTGTTTTTGTTTGTTTTTCAGCATTAGGAATTGAACCCAGGGCTTTCACACTGAGCTACATCTCTAATCTTTTTCTTTTTTTTTTTTTTGTGATAGGGTCTCACTAACTCACTGTTACCCAGGCTGGGCTTGAATTTGCCATCCTCCTGCCTCAGCCTCCTAGAACTGGGATTATAGGCATATACCACCACACCCAGCTCCTCCTGTCTGTTTCAGAACAGGAAAGTCAAAGCCTTGGGTTGAGTGTATTGATCAAGTGAGCAGATGGAGGCCAGAGAGGAGGAGGGGGAGGCTGGTGAGCCCAAGTCCTGTTTGAGCACCCACTGGGCTCATTGCCCTTGGAACCCAGCCATGCAGTGGTATCTTCTCTGTTCCTAAAAATGGCTCCAGCCTTTTCCACAATGCAGGTGCAGAATGCTATGATCTGCCCTGATGTGACATTGAGAGGCTGGCAGAACCACGCTCCAGGGAGCTCAGCAGCCCTGAGGAATAAGAACAGGGCCATGCAGACCCGAACTGTAAGGAAAAGTGCCTCTAACAGTTGCGGGATCACCTACAAGTCCCTCCTGGGCCAACCTACAGAGTGCAGCTATTCCACCAAGCTCTTAGGTGTGACCCATCCATCAGCCCTCTATTCCCCCTTACCCTGGGCTGTTTCAGTTCCTTTGCTGCAGACTAACCAAGAAGACAGATCTGAGTTTATGCCCTGTTTCCTTCTCCAGTGGCCGTCAATGAAAGCTCTTTCTTTTTCCAGAAACCCAGAGCCATAGAATTGGCTTCTGTTCAAGTCAGGCAGTTAGCTCCTGCTCAGCGTGGCCTGCGTCACAGAGATGGTGACAGTCTGCTGACAGTGGCTGCTGACCCTGCAGGCTCCTTAAAGGGGTGGCATCTTACTGACCCTGTACACGAGATGCCCAGCATACACGAGGCACCCGGTAAGTGTTTGCTGGAAGTAAGCCAGGGCCTCTGTCCCAAGTCCCCGAGTCAAATACCAGAATTCTCCATCGTTATCTTTCCGCAGAAGTAGAATCTTCTCCTTGGGGCTCAGAAGCTCCCATGTACTTGAGCTGAAAAACAGAAATATTTTAATGGGGAATGAAAAAGCTGTGGGAAGGCATGCTAGGGAACCCATAGCAGGGGTGGCGAACTTATGGCGCTAGTGACATAACAAGATATGCAGAGAGCCAAGTCACCCCAGCAGCCCAGCATGAAATAACCTTTATTTTTTTCTCAACTAAAACCTCCCTATTCAGGTTTAATTGCAGTATTGGCACTTTACGGTAAACAAATGGGTTTTGGGTTGCAGTTTCAGCCGTTGGTCTCTAAAAGGTTCGCCATCACTGCTCTGCAGTGTCATTATTTGGTGTTATTTTCATGCTGCTTTCAGGCAACTAAACCTTACATTCTTCATTATAAAAGTACCATGCAACATGAATGAATCACTTACTCTGAGCCAAGTGCCAGGCCAGGCTCCTGACATATCTTATTTCATTTAAGGCTAACAACTTTGAAAGATGGGGGGGTTATTTATCCCCAGTGTAGAGATCAGGAATCAGATGAAGAGAGGTGAAGTCACTTGCTTGAAGTCACATAACTATTAAATGTCCGAGGTATCCTTTAGCCAGGTATTACTTACTTTCAAAGCCCATAATATTGAACTTCTACTTCTGGCTACAAAGGAGTAAAACTGTATCAGCCTTTCAACCATAGATAACTAAAAATGGGACAAAATGCAAGCAGCTATTTTTAGACATGAGACAGCAGTCGGCACAGGGTTCCCAAGAAAAGGGGAACAAATGAAAGGAACCCTGCAGCCCCAGGCTTCTTTCTGAAGGGAATTTCTTGGACAGTGAGAGAAAAAGAGAGCCTACCAGTGCATGCCTAGGACTCTGGATTGGAGCCCAGGGTGGGCAACTTAGCAAGGCCCTGACTCAAAATAAAAAATAAAGAGCGCTGGGGACGTAGCTCAGTGCAAAGGCCCTGGGTTCAATCCTCAGTACTGAAAACACAAAACAATACAAAACAATCTTTCTCACTGAGTATATAGGAGACAGAGCCTGGAGCTCAGAGACCAGGCAGGTAGAATGCTGGGGAAAGTGCCTGGAGGAAAGGCTACCTAAAGATGACCTAGAAAACCTCCTGAGGGTTCCCTGGAGCCTTTGGCTGAAATCTAATCTGTGCTTTCTTAAAGTGAAATCCACAAGACTGGGCTAGATGCAGAACAATTCCCAGAGTGGGGAATCATGAATTCTCACCAGCAAGAGTTGAAAGACCTTATTGTGTACATGTAGTTTTTACTAGATATCCCAGAGAGTCCACAAGTTAGAAATGGAATCAAATTACCACTGAAATAAAGGTGTCCCCTCTTGACCTGCCCAAAAAGTGCTGAAAAACTTCAAAGTATCAAAACAACCCCTAAGCAATGTAAGTACTTGCCAGAAAAAAAAGAAGACTCTTTAAAAGAATAGAATTCCACACTCAGAAACTAAAATTTATAATGTCTAGCACCTAATAAAAAAAAGTATTAGTTATATGAAGAAGCAGAGAACGTGATCCATGAGTAGGATAAAACGTCAGTAGGAACTGATCCAGAAATGAAAGAGATTAGCATTAGAAGATAAGGACATTATAATAGCTACTATAAATATGTTCCAAAGTCTCAAGAGTGTAAAGAGAAATAAGAACATGATGAAAGAAGAAATAATAAATATACAAAAATTAAATTTCTAGACTCAAAAATATGACATTTGAAATGAAAAGTATTTTGAATGAGATTAAAAACAAATTAAGCCCTGTGGAATAAAAGCCCATCATTTTATTTAATTTTTTTTCATTTTATTGAAACTTCACAACAGCTCTAGCTCAAAAAATATTAGGAAGCTTGCCTGAAAATCACTCTACTAGAAAGCAACAAAATTGTAATTTTACCCATTACCTATCTCTAATGTTAGTACTCGTCCTTCTAGGAAATGAATCACCACCAACAACAAAATGATGGTATCATCCTGTCACACTTTAAAATGTATGCATTTGTTTGGGTGACAGTTTTTCACATCGGTCCAGTTCCTCTGCCAACTCTGTTAACCTACAACACATGTAATGTAGCACATTCTACCAGGATTAAAATTCAAATGTTTTTCTTCACCTTCATCTTTCATCTCTCAAAATGCTCAAGCAATAATGCATACGTAGACATATCTGTATACTCTAAAGTGTTACACGGGGTTGCATGTTATGAATCTTCATAACAATGGGAGGGACTCTCACACCTGAACTCTCATTTCACCCATTCTCTATAGCAAGTCTGTGGCCTCTAAACCCAGGTCCCTTTAGGCTGCCTTTAGACTGGAATGACCTAAGTGTAGGCATCCAATCAGAATGCTCCAGGGTCACTAAATGTAACCAGAGAGCCACTATAAGCAGAAAATCTGGGCCAAACCAGATTTGTCTACCGTGGACTTAATATGCCCAATAATGCACTGAATCATGTCAGGCACAGAACGCTGGACTAACTCACCAAAGTCCTTCATTGAGTCACAGTGTGTCACCTTAACTAATTCACTTTATTTAAGCTTTTATTTAAGAAAAATGGGGATACAACTATCTGCTCTATAATAGCACTGTTTGGGGGATTAAATGAGATCATAAAAGTTCAAAGAACTTAGCAGCATTGGCAAGCCTTCAAGATAGCATTATCTTTAATTATTCTAACAAAAGAGAAAGTTGTTTACAGACCATAAAGCATTATAAATGTGAGGGACCAAGCCTTGCAGTCTGAAAGCTTTCTGGTCTAACCTGAGTCTAAAAGAAGCACACATTTGAACCTGTGCTAGCAGCAACCTCCTTTGCAGTCCTGGCTTGTCTCATGCTCCCCGTGCCAGGCAGTCCAGCAGCTCACCTGTCACTCCAATCTCCTCTCCATTCCACCTTTCCCCAGGGGTTTCGTAGCTTCACTAGGTACTCAGGTCCATATGTGCAGGTCACCTGGACAAAATGAGGAGCAGTTTAGGTGTCAGGGCTAAATACATTTGACACAGGTATCTCTGTCTGAGACCCACGCCTGCAGCTGAGGCTTCCCAATGGAAAAAATCAAAGACTTGGAAAGAGTTGGCAAGAGGCTCTGCTACTTGCACTTACTACCTGTAATATGCAAGACAAATTACCTAACTTCTCTGTGTCTCAGTGTTTTGATCCATAAAATGAGACTAATAGTCATACCAATAACAGTGCTTTGATTAGCGGATGCCCAGTGGAAATGTCCACCAGGAACCTGTGAACGTAGCCCTGTTTGGAAAAAGGATCTTTGCAAATGCAATTAAGTTAAGGATTTTGAGGTGAAATCACCTTGAGTTAAGTTGCAGGCCCTAAATCCAAGAGAAGAGAGAAGGAGACCCACATAGGAGAAGGCCATGTGCGGACAGGAGCCATGGAGCCTACGGCAAGGAACACCCAGAGCCACCAGAAGGCAGAAGGGGTCAGGAAGCTCTCTTCATTGAGAACCTTTGGGAGGAGTGTGGCTCTGCTGAGACCTTGATTTCAGGCTTCTGGCTCTGTAAGCAGTAAGAAAATGAATGTTTGCTGTGTTGAGCCACCCAGCATGGGGTAATCTGTTACAGCAGCCTAGGAAATGAACGCACCAACCCATGGCGGCATTGTGAGCATTAAGGAAGCCAACATGCATCAAACGGTTACAATCGTATTTAGCACATAGCGCTACTTAAATTTGTTAAATATACAGAAAATAAATGTCATTGGCACACAAACAAATGTGATTGAAGATTGAGGAAAATGTTATTGTGAGTTGAGCTCAAGAAATGTGAAACAATTAAAAGAAAGGGGAGGGCTTTGGAGAGTCAGCTACCAAGGAATGCCCTGGGGTCTCAGCCTACGAATTTCTTACCTTCATGTTGTGCCTATGCTGCTCTCTCTACCAAATACCCTCCTCCCTCACACAGATCTGCCCTCTTGTGGCGGGTAAATCAATGCTATTTCATCTGTGAAGCCCCTTCAGACTTCTTCCCTAGGTAAACAGATGTCTTTTCTCCTACTTCAGAGCTTCCAAAGTCAGAGCCTACCTCTGAGCTCTCACGTTCTACTTTGCTTCCTCATCCTTTTCAAGTATATGCTGCCTGGAACCTTGACTGTAAGCTCTCTGCAGCCAGGACTCCTGTCTGAGCCTTCTCTCAATGCTTAGGAGAGCCCAAAAGATAAACAGAATTGAAGGAGCCTGAGAGACTGTTGTAGAGGAGCATAGGAGAGAGAAGGAGCAACTTGGAAGGGAAGAACCAGGAGAAAGGCCGCCTTTGGCAGCCTGGAGGCAGGTGAGGCTCAAGGAAGGGTTGTAGGCACAGCAGGGCTCAGTGGCCAACTGACTGAGGGGTGGCCCACAGGAAGATGCTTGGAAGGTGCCCTGGGAGTCACAAAGGTTGGACACAATGCTAGTTTAGAAACTAGATATAGAGTTACTAGGAGCCCACCAAAGGCTTTGGCGAGCCCTGGAGGATCTACCTGAGACTTTATCCCCATCCCCACTCAACACTGGGAGGATGCTGCATCCACTGAGACAAGCCAAGGCCTTGGAGAGAAGATCTGAAAGAGGAGGTTGAGTGGGAAATGAGTGGCTTAGATAACCCCACCTTCCGGATTCCTGTGAGAGTATAGGCATGGCCGTCCACCAGCCCATTCTTCAGCACCCCTTCCTTCTGCAGAGAAAAAAAGGGAGGCCCCGGTCAGTCCAGCAGCTTCCTCCAGGAGTCTAGGTAGACCTGGAATGGATTTGGCTGAGGGTTTTTTGGGGGAGAAGACTGGAAAAGAATCACAGTGTGATATCCCTGTTTGAGACAGGCATGAAGCGAGGGCTTCCCACTCCAGTTCCATGTTCTTTGCTGTTAAGAAATTGGACACATAAGCTCCCTGCAGGCAACTGACATTTAATAATTGTTAAATCTTGGGGCTGGGGATTTAGCTCAGTGGTTCCGCTGCCTGCCTTGCAAGTGCAAGGACCCAAGTTCGATCCCTGGTACCCCCCCAAAATAAAAATAAATAATAATTGTTAAACCTCTTCTCTGCACACCATTTGTACTCTCCTGCTACCTTGCCTGTCCTAGGACCCAGCTGTACCACCCTGGTTTGAACATCAGGACTTGGTGCAAGGATTGGTGGAGGCCCAGGGGCTCATGTAGAGGAGAGAGCAGGAGCTGGTGGGTGAAGGGAATGGAGCAGGAGGGGAGACCGTGTGCCTCTCTCTCATCCTCTCTCACCCCTAAATGAGTCTGGCAGCCAATAAGGGTTCTGCTGTAGGTGGCTTGGGTTAGGGTGTGCCACAGGTTTCCAGGGGCTTCTGACAGGTTGATGGTCATTGTCACCCCTCCAGTAAAGTCCACAAGGGCTTCAGACACTTGTCCAAATTGCAGATCTTCATAAGAACCACAGAGCCTGCTCAGAGAAGGAATAAATATGAGATACAAAGGTAAGGGGCATTTATATGGCAGATGAGGTGGCCTGAAAGAGCTGTGAAGACCTCACTTGGTTATTCTTTGGGTACATAATTGATGCTCCTTCCTTTCACTGCAGGATCAAAAGATTGAATATACACCTACAGTCCCTTTCCCCTCCACACACCTTCATTCATGAGAGAAAGGCAACATTTGAGTGTTTGTTCAAAGGGGGTAACCCCTACAAAAAAAGACTGAGCAGGTTCTCACTTTTATGTTGGTTGACACACACCTCATACCTCATTTGTTGAACTTTATCTGATCCCCTCCTTGCTCCAAGATGGAGAGATGAAGAAAGAGAAGGGAAGGAGGACACCTCTGGTGGTTGTCTTACTTGGCGTAGGCCTTTTCCAGAAGAGCTCCCCAGAACAAATTCTTATAGGTGGAGGACACGAAGACCAGCTGGCCAGTCTCATTCACAGGTAGACGGTCATCTATCACCACAGAAAGCCACTTCCCAAAGTGCCAGAACTGGAGAGGGGTGTGGGGGGGAGTCACTGGTGAGATGCCATGGAAGAGACTGCCATGATCCCAGAGGCCAAGACATGGCTCTTCCATCAGCCATCTTTGCTTTTTCTCTCTACCTCACACCAGTGGGCTGAAGTATCAGGAGTACACTCACCCAGAACCGGAAGATGCCTGCGTAATTCTCAGTGAAACTCTGATCCAGGGGAACAACCCGGTTCATGATGTCCTGGTGCAAAGTCAGAGCTTGCAAAGCAGCCAAGAACCAGCAGTCTCCTAAGCCAGATGGCACAATGACTCTCACGAATCTATGATACACGCATGTACATCTGACCAGCCTCTGCATGGTTCTACTGAGTACTTCTTACGTGCAAGAAACTTTCAGTCCCAGTTATACTCTCTGGGCTCACAGCCTATTTTAGTAAAAGCAAACAACATAATGGGGAGGAGGATAGTGAGAGAGCAGCATAGAGGGAGAGAAACTGTGGCCGGAATCCAGACCTGATATCAAGAATTGAGCCGTCTTCCTGAACCAGTGTTCAGCTTATTAAATGCCTCCTCCTTGGGAATTTGAACCCAAACACAATGATAGTTTGTAAATTCTGCCTCTGTAACTGACTTATGTTTTTTCTGGAGAATGCTCTTCAGGATCCCAGTTCTCCATCTGTGAGATGGGTGTCATTTTACTTGTGTCTTCACTGATGGCCAAGAGTTGTTTGTATATATTCTAAAAAACTCTGAGCTATGATAGGCCTGCCTGGGTCCTAATGGCTGGTGTTCCCAGAAGAAGTCATTGTGGGAACTGAAAAAGAATGAGCACATTTCCTCACATTCAATTTAGACCATAAACCGGTACTGAGGACTATCTGAGGACTTAGACAAGGTGTGACATTTCTACACATACCCAGAGGACTGGTTTTTATGAACCTCCGGCTAAGGAAAAAGCATGTGAAGGAGCTCAGGGTTTGCTGCTGAGTGACCATTTGAACCCCATTGCAGCTCCCTCAGATGGGCTCTCTGGCTTCCTCCTACCTTGGCCTGGTGTGGACCTCAGAAGCTATGTGACTTACCTACTACTCCCTGGCACAGATCCAGCCTTTTGGTCTCAGTTGAATAGAACTGGGGATTGCTGTGCAGCTCCTGGGGGAACAAACGGAATTATCATTATGATGGAGAATAAGGAAACTTAGAGTCACAGTAAGCATGTTCTCCCATACTCTAAAACCCAACCAAAGGGACAAAGGTAGAGAACATACTATATCAGTGCTGTTCCAGAAAATCAGGGATATAGATTCTGTCTATCGTATTTCTCATTCCTTCTTCCAGTTCATGAAAGTCAGAGTCCTAGAGAACTCTGTACAGATATTGAGAAATGCCTTTTCTCAAAGTTTCTATCAAAATAGTCTCTTATGCATTCTACTTTTTCCCAGAGTTTGTTCTCTCTCCTCCCTCCTCCTCCTCCTTCCCACTCCCACCCTGCAGTGGGGGGGCACCTTTGGGTGGAGGTGGGAAGAAGGGGCAGTCCGCTCTGTGCCAAGAACTGAATCCCTCCTCCCTGCGTGCAGACAGTTCCCTCTGGGGCCTCAGTCTCTATGTGAGCAGTGCTCAGGACTCTCTGGGAGAAGGGGGATCTTGCTACCACCTAGTTTAGTGGGTCTCCTTGGGAATTTTGCACATAGGAGGGATTTTCGTAAGTCTGGGGTTGGAAATGTCAGTGTAGGCAACAAAAAGAGAAAAGAATCCACAGCATAGGTTGAGCTCACGGTGTTCCCAAACATCATGGATATAATCAGGTTTGAAGGAGATGAATTACATTCAAAGTAAGAAATTGCCCTTTTAAAGGAATCATTGATACAGTTTACAAAATGAAGAATACTTTTGTAAAGTAACTGATAGCTCATTAATTTCCATGTTTTATGACCTGACTCAAGGAAGACAGTGAAAGACGGTCTCTTGGGCAGCTGGTACTGGCTGTAACTCAGGATGCCTTCTCTCTTGGATGATGCCATACAAGACCTTGATATGCTTGTGGATGCATTTCTGGGAGGGGTTTAAGGGAGGGCTACATCTTAGACCATTCCCAACTTTTCTACCTGGAAAACAGGAATGTAGGAACGTACCCAGTTCCCTTCTCATGAGGATTAATGACAGATAGTAAGACCTGGTATGGTATGTGAAATATATATATTTGGTTTTCCTCCCAGTTCCTGAAGACTGCATACTCTATGGAGTGATGTGTATTTTTGGTATGCTAATAAGGTGACTGGTGGCCAGGTCCCCATAGAGAGCTTCAGGATGATGGCTGGTCACCGAAAGACCCTCAACATCCTTGACCTTTGGAGAGCGGAGAGAGGCTGAAGGTTGAGCTGCTCACTTATGGGGACAGGGACTCCAGTGATGAAGTCAGTCATGCCTATGTAATGATGCGTTCATAAAAACCCAAAAGGCCAGGCTGTGGACTGCTTCTGGAGAGCTGAGCAGAAGCACATGGAAATTCCACGTCTCTTCCCCCATGTTTCTTCGTATCGTTTCCATCTGTATCCTTTATAGTATCACTTATAATGAACATAAGTACAGTATTGCCACAAGTCCCGTGAATCTCTCTAGAAAATTAACAGACCCCAAGGACAGGGTCACGGGAATTGATTTACAGCCAGTGGGTCAGAAGCATAGACAGCAACCTGGAATTGTGATTGGCACCTAAGGTGGGAATAGTCTCTTGGGACAGAGCCCTAACCTATGGGGTCCGACAGCGTCAGAATTAGGTTGAACTAGATGACACCCACTGTGTAGCGTGTGGGGGGAAACTTTCCACACATCTGGTGTCAGAAGTGTGTGGCGTGTTGAGTGGACGTTAGAGAGTAGAAAATACTCTGTTTTTTCCCATTTGTCTTAGACACTTGTGTGTCGAGCACCCGAGCTCTAGGCAGTGCCACGTGTTGGGCATATTGTTGGCAGCCCCTGCCTGGCCCTTACCGGGGGTCGCCTCCACCGCAGGCGTCGAGGCAGCTTCTGCAGCAGAGCCCCACTGCCAATGGAGCTCTGAGTGGCCGGGAAGCTGCTGTCTTCGAAGAGGCAGTGGTTCCTCAGGCAGCGGTCCAGCAGCGCCTCATAGTTTTGCTGGGGGGGATGCAGAGAGCCCTGCATCGAATCCTTCCACCCCAGCTTCCATCTGCCTCGCAGAGGTGGACACAGAGACATGGCAGGCCTGGCTGTGGCCCCACAGTCCTCCCTGATAGTGTCCGTTCCTGAATCAAAGACTGGAGGGTGAGCTGTAGAGAATGTGAAAGGAAAAATGAGCAGAGACAAGGGGGAGAGGAGAAGTAGGAAGCCCTTCGGGCTTGTGGTCCCTGTGCCTGCCCAGGCAGTGACGGCCGGGCTGTCTCCCCACCCGTCAGCTGCAACTGCTCAGTGGGCTTTTGTGCTCTCCACTGGGAGAGGCAGACAGCAGCACCTTGGCACAGGAACAAGGCTTTCATTTTTATGCTCAAGCACAAAGAGGAAAATCATGGAGGACAGGGACCCCAGAATAGCCCAAACAAAACACAAAGTGGAAAGCTTTTCAGACATCTTCTGGGTATGCAAGGCCCTGGTCTCTTAATAGCATCGCATGTCAAGTGGAGTTTATGTTGCTCCTGCACTCTTCACCGGGCCCCTTCATGGAAGCGTATTGGTCTCATTAGCACCTTTAGACTCCAGTGCGGAGTGCGACTCTGCTAATAAAGTAAAGGTAACTACTAGGTTGCTTTAATGGCTTTTCTATGCACACATTTGTGCCTTACTGTGTGGAATTTGCCCTTTATCATCTGAGAAAGTTCCCAATAGTGTTTGCGGGCAGAGCAGATCACGTTCCAGTCTCAGTGGGCTTATCATGATTTTCCTTGGCTCTGGTTCTCAGGATCTCACTGACCAGTCTTTGAACGCTGAACTGACTTTCCATCCTCCTGTCTCCCAGTGCCTTTCCTTAATTTTACAGCCACAAGGGTGGTTCGCTTCTTAACTCTCGAGTCCCTGGTATTTTTGACTGAGTGCTGATCTCTCTGTCAGAGGCCCCCACAGGCTGCCCGCTGCTGCTTCTGGCCTCTTCCTTCCAGCTGCACACACTGCCAAACTCCTGTTTCAACACCTTCCTCATTTTCCCTGCAAAGTCTCCTATGTTCTCTTCAAAATGAACTCCTTCCTTGACAACTTTTTTGTTGTTGGCAAAGCAGAAGAACTCATATACATGGATTGGTAAATACTCATAGTTGCTTCTTCTCACCCTTTTCTTAATAACAGAATTCTAGTTTTGATTTAAAATGATTTCGTGGGATTTCTTGCCAGACTGGTTGGCTACATTATCTAGTTTTGGCTGATGAAATAAAGGTCCACTAGGTGGAGCTTTACTCAACAAAAAGCCATTGGCTTAGGGGACATCACTTTGATTTCTAACACCCCTCTTACTAGGCTGGAGCAACTGTATTGGGGACCATTAGGAAAAACCCCAACACATGCTAGAAGAAGACTGGATCTTGATGGCTTCTTGGAATATATAGCCCCTTGTTTATAGATCTCTTAATATGCGAGAAGGATAAACTCTCACTCAAGCCATTGGAGTGGCTAGACATCTCTGGTGCTCTTTAGGTCACTCATTGTATACACAACCATGGCACACTTCACTGAGACACAGTGACATGGAAAACTCTTACACATACTGTTAGGGAGCAATGGTCCCTCTTCCGAAGCCTACTCACAAGCTTCTGTAAGCCAATGGCACCCCACCAACTCCAATATTCTAGCAAACCCTTAGAACTTCTGCATCGGTTTTTGTTCAGTTGTGATTAGTTAGTTCAATGCTCTTACAGCCTCTCTCATTTCCACTCTTGTCCACTTATAATTTTTTTTAAAAAATCAAAGTTAGAAGAGGTCTTCTAAGTTGTCTAATCTGGTATTTTTCAACATAGCAGTAGGATTTATCTCATCAAATGAGACCAAAGCCTGGAGATTTGAGTTTGCAGTTTGGACCACAATGTACTTTCTCATTTTCTGGTTTGGAAACCATCAATTTTATCTAGTCACCTCACCTCATTTGTCTAGTGTTAAAACTAAATCCCATTTATCCACTAAAAATTTCATTAGAGATTTGCCATCTGCCAGGCTTGAACTAGGCCTTGTTGGCTAGGTAGTCCCCATCCTCACAGCTCTTAATGGAAAGTAAAATGTTCTTCTTGGTACTACACAGAAAGATTGCATGAGAACCAAGACCCAGGCCCCTGAATCCCATAACAATGCTCAGCCATCGATGCCAGCATTTGCCTGGTGTGCCTAGGACAGAGCTCAGGGCACAACGTACGTGTACTAAAAGCAGAAAACATGTCTGTACAGAGCACAAGTGCTCCCTCGTAGCTGCAGGGATGATCTGAGAGTCTTGTTTGTATGTCAAGATCACTTCCATCCTCTACCAGGAAGCCCTTCTTGAGTGCCTGGCTCTCCCTGAGTCCCCTCATCCTGTCATCCATCAACCCACTGCCTACCCCCCATATGTCGTACTGTCCTCAAATTGTCACTAGCGGAACACACACCTGTATTCTTTTATTTCTAGTTCGTCACAGAAATTTAATGAAAATGAATTAATAAATCATGAAAATTTTACAACATATGAAATCAAGCTCCCCCCTTTAAAAAAACATTTTTAGATTCTTTGCAAATAGAATTATTTGGTCAGTTGCTATAGAAGTTCTAAACACTTACCCTCAGTTCTGCAGCTGCTCGGCACACTTCTAGGGACCAGTCGTGAAATGGCCTGCTCTGAGTGATTTATGCATGATGCCTCCTCACATAATATGTGGGGTTTTTCTTTATAATCTATGGGATTAACAGTGGTGGAATGTGGCCTGCTTACTCACACCCTTACCTCTCTGTGTACTCAGGACAGCCTGATTCTCAGCTGTTATTTGTCACTGCCTCATGCACATTTTCTGGGGGAAGACTCACTCCTAATCCAGGTTGTAGGAACTCAAAAACTGTTACTCACCTCTTGCCTCTGAGTATTTCTTCCTAACACAGACAGCTTCCTCCAGCCTAACCCCATTTTCTTCCCATTTCTTCTCCCATATATACATTTGTAAGCAAATTCAAGGCCACACAAAGGCAAGGCCTCACCTCTGTGTCTCTTCAAGCCTGAACAGCAATCCTCACTGCTGTGAGGTGACAAATGGCTCCAGAGCTGACCCAGGCTTGTGGCCTCCTTTCCAAGTGCTGGGTGACACTCAGGCTCCTCTCCAAACCTCTCTTTACAAGCATGGTGTCTCACGGGCTCAGAGGACAAAATGCCTGTTAGGGAATCCTCTCACCCTCCAAATTTCAGAACGAGGCCACACATGGACACTAATATCTGATTTTCAAAGCATTCCTAAATCACCTTGAGGGAAATCTAGGCCCAGCTGTGGACGGTTGGCAGTTCTCACCTGTCTCTTGTATATTACAAGCTGTGAATAAAACTGGCTCATTCTCAGATTGGCCCAGCTCACTCTACCAAGGACTTGATGGGTCTTGGTGATATTTGGAAACTTATTGTGATGAGCGGAAGTGAAGAGTGTTGGACAAGCCCATAAAATAAGACTGTGCAGATGCGGAAGGGAGAGCTTACTTGGGGCACAAGATAGGAGAGCATGCAGTTTGAAGGCATACTACCCAATCTGGAAGCTCTGTTTCCAGCTCCCCAGCTAGACTGCTGTGTAGTGCTCTGCTTTTCCTTTTTATTTTATGAAAAATAAAAATTTCATAACAAAACAATAAGAGAATAACAACAGGTAATACACTGTGTCATTATCTTCAAAGTAGTTACCAGACAAAAAGATTCTTACAAAGAAGAAACAAACTTTAAAAGAGGAAATAATTTCTCGCTCACCTATGAGGTGACTTGTTTCTGAAGAGCAAATATTTATTGTAGGGACACTGACAGGAAAAAAGAAAAAGAAATAAATTATCATCAATATTACCATTATTCAGGGGCAATGTTGTTATAACTTTTAGAGCACTTTTCCCACATTTATATTTTATGAAAGTGAGATATATTATACCCTTTTTCACTTGCCAATGATGAACACTTTTCTTTGGAAAAAAATGAATATATAAAAGCATATTTAATTATTGCCAAGTATGGTATATCATAGATCAGCCAAAATTTATTTTTAAAATCAACTATCTGTAGAATTTCATGGTGTTTCCAGATTTTCCACTACTCTCAACAGTGCTGGAATTACTATATTTTAGCTACTTTTTTGGCATATTTCTAATTATTCTACTGAGATAAATTAGAAACAGAATGAAATTTCTTTAACCTAAAAAAAAGCCTTTACTAAAAAATTTAGGGCAATAGCCTACCTTTTGAGGAAAAAAACTTTTTAAATTTTTTTCTTAAAGAGAAGATAAGGATGCCACTTACTACCATTTTTACTTTTTTTTTTTTTTTTTTTTTTTTTTACGCGGGAAACAACACTCACTTTTTTTTG